TTACTTAGAGAACCACTAATTGCTGGCTAAACATAGACATTATCTAAAGAAAAGCTGCTAGCCCAGGGGAGATATCACTGTTTGTAACAGTAACTGTAATCGGCAGTGTACGGCACAGTGTTTACTGTTTTAAACTCATGTGATTGGAAAATGCTCAATGCATTGTCTCTGTCACACTTGCAATTAACTACATGTGCCTGATTGTCATGTCGTGATGGTGCTGCAGTTCAACTGTAGCTACGTAGCTTAAAGCTTGAAACTGCTGCCACCAAAATAAACGACAATTCAATTTTCTCTTTGCAAAACAAAGACAAATTTGCACCAGTTGCTACTAGCGTTGATACTAATTTTTGAGCGAGAACAGCTCATGCATTAAGTCAGATAATTATTGAATAATTTAAAAAACATACTTTCCTATTTAAGAGGACCCATAGCTAACTCCCCTTTTAAAGATGACTTTTTACTTACTTGTGTCTCTTATTTGGTAAATATTGCAGAGAAAAGACACGTAACATGAAGCGAGAGTGGAGTGACATGCAACAAGGGTCCCCTGGAGTCGTACCATGGATGTTCCATTGATGCTTGAACCACCACCTGTGACGCCTCATATAACTTAATTATTTCCTGTCATAACTATTAGTTGTTGCCCTTTATTTGAGTTTGAAGACAAACTGCTGTTACAAAGTTGTGCATCTTCTTCAACACATGCCTCCATGGCGTCTAGCTTGACGGTGACTCAGTGGTTTGTCATCGTTGGGGCGGCTGTGTTTGTGCTTCTTGAAAGTCAATCCTTTCCATGTCTTCCTCACGATTTTACTGCACTTTTATTGAACACTGTAACACAAGTCATGCTACCTTAATGACACGGTTCCCATTCTTTGAAGAGTAACTCAACACGCCAACGTTGCTGACCTCCTTGCTGCAGTGAAATGCAGCTGCACTCCAGAACCCGGTCACATCGCCGTTGGGTGTGGTTACAGGTTTCACAGAGCACACCTACAAACTGCACTGAACTACACCCAGCTGGAGGTGAAACAGGCTTGAAACTTTCAGCCAGAGAGGTCAGCAGCATACTGATTTCCAGCCTGGTGTTAAGTGACTCTCTCAGCCTGTCTGGACTATCATATCACACCACCAAGAGACCAGAGTTAGTCATTTGTGGTATTTGGACAGCAGACTTTACCGTAGACCTCCACAGTGCAGGATGTAGTGGCATCTCCAGCGTCGCAGGTGTAGATGCCAGAATCACTGACTTGACATTTCATGATCTGAAGAAATCGTTTTCTTCCCATTGCGTAGATACGCAAGTCCTTGCTTGGCTTGACCTCAGTCCCATCCTGCATGAAAAAAAAATCACACACACGTTTTATTTCATATGTTTGTGTTGTCCTTAATTGTAATTTGAGGTTCTTTAAGTTCAACATCAATCAACTACTATTGCTTCAAAATCCAACACTCGCCTTCATCCATTTCACGTCAACGTTGTGTCTCGACAGCTCACACTCAACAGAGATCACTGCCCCTTCAGGGAATTTCTGATCCTCCAGATTTCTGAAAACGGTGACTGGAGGTTCTGTTGGAGAGAAACAAAACCTCATTCAAATTTCTCCAAAAAGCAGCGCCGCTCAACATCGAAGCAACCTATACGGACTAATTTATTGTGATGACATTTTCATCCAATTGTCATCCGCAGCATTTCATCCCCAGCTCAAAGGGATGATGCATACTGAGTGACTAGGCATGGAGTGGATTAAATTACAGCATGAGGTTAAACTAGCACCTGACAGAAAAGACTGAACAGAGCTACTGCTTTTCATTGGGTCATGCTAGGCTATTTTGTGTTTGTAACGTGAGCCCGGATAAAAGCAACGGTAGCAGAGCCGTCACTCCATTCTATTATCATGCCTCCACTCGCTGGCATTTGGCCTACGTTGAGTAGACCACTTTAGCTACCAGTCTGGGGTCACAACAAAACGAGTACAGTGAAGTTTTGTTTTTGTTAGTACTGTACGTGGTTTGTCAGGTCCAAGTGTGCAAATACTGAATTATTTGTAACTATTAAATTGGACTAATGGATTATACACATCATTGCTAAGCTTGTTTTTTGGGGGCGGGCTTCATTTAGACTATTGTCAGCTCATTTACTGTTTTTCTGAACTGCCTACCTCTGACAACAAGTCTTGCAGACGTCTTCAGATTCTCTACGCAGAACATGAAGGTGCCGGTGTCTTCTACCGATAGGTTAGAGATCGTGAGGCTGTGGACTTGTCCTTTGGCGCTCATACGAAAGTGATTTGTCGGCTTAAGCTGGATTCCGTTTCTGATCCAGGTGCCCGGGACATTGGGATGGGAGAGCTCCACTTCAAAAGAGGCCGTTTCTCTCTCCGTGGTTTTAATGTCGCTCAGACCCCTCTTGATTGTGATTTTGCGTGCTGCGGGGGCAACAAGGAAGGAAAAGTTATGTTTGACAGAGTGGAGCCAGGAACAAGCATTTTCATTCCAATTTGACACTGAGCAGACGTGGTGTCATTTTTCTGTTACGGCTCGGAGTCTGTTCTGTATCCAGCAGTTAAACAATACAAGCTGGCACACATTGACAAGCTGATATTTTAGCCAGTTGAGCACTGGGGCTTTACACAAAAGCCAGCTTTGAAACTGCCAACATTTTTCACTTATTCTAACACAGACAAGCATTCCCTGTGGAAAAAAGGAGTGTTTATTTTGGAGACCTGATGACAACAACCTTAGTTTTGAAGGCCAGGGTGTAAATTTAGATGCAATGAGAGGAGATCCAAATTCATAGGAGGTGCCAACAGCAGCCTGAAGTCCTGACTTTCCCCTTCCCACCCACACTAGTGTTGAAAGAACAGCTTTTAATTCACCCACTGGCCTGTGGATCACAGAACTAAGAAATATAAGAAGCATGCACAAAGAAAAACAAGCATAAGTACGTCTTAATCAGTACACGATGCTGTTTTTACAGTGTGTCACGCTTACTGTTTTAGACAAATGTGCTTGGGGCTTGTTCTTTAAGAAATATTTACAAAATGTAACTTTAAACGTTGAATAGCAGCATTTCCCTTATTCGCCTGTGTTGATACTGATTCCCACCCGCGTCAAATCAACAGGGCACTACTGATTCTGCGTCAATACAGAAACTTTGGACTGAAAGTCATCTTGAGCTGCAGGGAAATCACCTGTTGGTTTCCATCATTTTCCAGTTTAAGTGCCTCCCTGGTCCCCAGTCACTCAAATTACTCTTACTCAGTTAATTGAGCTTTTGCCTTCACAAGAAGCAGCGATGGAGGACGCGCTAGAGATGGAGTTGTCGGCAACAGCAGTAAACAAACAACAACAGGGCATAGTGAGAACACGTGCACACTCACGTTCCACTGTGAGCTGGGCTTGCGTGCGGTCATGGAGGGTTTCGCAGCTGTAGGTGCCCCGGTCGGACATGGCCAGTTTGTGGAGGGTGAGACTGTGTTTTCGGCCATTGTGACTCAGGGTATACTTGGCCCCAGGGTGGATCAGCACCCCTTGTCTCATCCACTGCACCTCTCCCGCATCTAGACTCACCTCCACCTCTAGAGTTGCCTCACTGTACTCTTCAGCTACAACTGGTGTCATTTTCTTGGTGAACAGCACCTGTTGCTCTTAAAATGAATGTCAGGAATTACTAGATAGCAGCATCTATCTTGTCAACGGTACTTTTAAACGGTCACACTGTATGAATGGGTCATGTATGTGCTCTTTGTTAATGCTACGATAAAGCCACACCCAGACAGAGCGAAATACGATACAGACCAAGGAAAGCCAGCAAAGCTACATGAAAAGTTCAAGCACAGAGAGAGCAAGCAAAAAGCTCTGAGGAGCCTTGCCCCCTGCAGCGTAACATACGCCAAAACCACTGAGCCACTTGTCTCTGTCAGTAACCAGAGGAATTCTAACAGGGGAAGCTGCTAAGCGTTAACCGTCGAAAAGACCTCTTCAAAAGTTTAAGCTTGTTTGAAATTATCATGAATTTATCAAATAGATTTATTAATGGTATAAACTTTAATGTTCACATTCACCTCAGTCTTTCTGAATATGGCTCACAGTTGAGTTATTTGGTGATAACTACCAGAGGGATATGTGGTTATTAAACAGTAAATGACGGTTAAATAGTGGAACTTCTGTGATCTATAATGTCAATGGAAGGGGCAACAACTCACCTTGAACCTGGAGTTCTGCCTCTGATACCAATCCCTCTGCATCAGCTGTCACTCTGCCGCTATCTGAAACCATGCAGTTGTTGATGCAGAGCATGTGGCATAGTCCATTGCTGGAAATGACGGTACGCTCATTCAGAGCTACTTGCTTGCCATTTAAGCGCCACGCTAACTTAGTGTCCTCTGGCGAAACCACGCACTTAAATATTGCATCTTCTCCTTCACAGACGGTGATGTTACGAAGCTCTGCTATGAACTCAACAACACGGGGAGCTGAAAAACATTGAGCTGAATCAGATTAATCGTGCTCTAGATATTAATATGGCACATTGACTGAAAAGCTGTCCCCTTAACCCTGCTCAAAGTTGTAGAATTTGAATGGGCTTACTTTCTACAGTGACAGTTGCTGAGGTTCTGTCACCTGTAGATTCACAGACATATTCCCCAGCATCTTCTTCCACTAGTTGGTGGATGGTAAAGCTTCGCTCTCTGCCTTGTGCCCGTATTGTATGCCGACGGCTCGGAGAGATCTCCTGGCCATCTTTTAGCCACTGGACATCTCCCTTGGGCTTGTTGATCTCGCATTGCAATGTAAGGCTGCTGCCCTTCGGAGACACAATATTCTCCAATTGTCTGATAAATTTCACCTTCATATCTGATGAATGAAGAGATACAATTTCAGAGATGTTAACTTTGCGACAGTTGTAATCAATTAAGCGTTTATTTGGAAATAGAGGTCACATTTTGGTAAGGAGTGCCAAATTCTTACCTTTGACTAAAAGACTGAAATACATCTCATCTGTGTTTACGTCACAGACATATTCTCCTGAATCTGACAGCTGCAAAGGATTAATGGTGAGCTTGTGGGTATTACCCTCACTGGAGATGTGAATGTTGTCCTCATTCAAAAGCTGGCCATCTTTCAGCCACCGAACATTAGCTCTGTCGCGGCTCACGACGGCACACAGTGTGACGCTCTCGTTTTCATACGCCGAGATGTTATTATTTGATTTTTTGTTCACAAACGTGGCTGGTGGCTCTGGAAAAAAAATTAGATTTACCAAGATGTTACCTGCAAATTCCATTACTAGGTGCAGCAATGAGAGAAATGAAAACTTGAAGCACGTTTCAAAAAAATCATTTTCAGCTCACCTTGGACCTCCACTATTGTTATTAGTTTGTCATCGATGGCGTCACAAATGTATTCTCCAGAGTCTGAGGGCTTAAGTCCAGAGAGAACAAGCTTCCTCACAAGCTCATAGCTGTCAATTTTTATACGAGTGTCTGGTTTCAGTATCTCGCCGTTCCATAACCACTGGACAGTGGCGTTCGGCCGAGACACTTCACACTCCAAAATAAGGTCATCTCCTGCTACCAGCATATGATGCTCCGGGTGACCTGAGTTTCCAACGATCTGCACAGGAGGCTCTGAACATAGAAGATATAGTATCATTTACTGTTTGTTCTAAGTGGAGGAAAGACAGGCTACATTTGTTATTTATTAATTAGTGAGATGATTACCTTTGACAGTGATATAGAACACCATTTTATCATCCACCGCATCACAGGTATACTCCCCCGAATCCTCGAGCCCCGCATTGAGGACAACCAGTGATCGGAAGACACCTTGCTCCTCACTACAGTATCGCTCGGTGTCGTTAATTAGCTGACTATCTTTGTACCAATTCACTGCGGCATTGGATCTTGAGAGTTCACACACGAGAATAATATCATCGGATACTAAGAATTGCTTTTCTGTCTTTGCATCGGTTTTTCCAAGTATTTCTACGGGCAACTCTGAAAATGAAAAGAAGAAGAGAATTTCTAATGCAACATAGTTCTTTGTCTCCACTGTAGGCAAAACCCCTCCCAAAAACCGAATAAATTAAATAACTATGTTAATTTCACTAAATAATATTGGGTCCCAAAGTCCCAAGAGGTGATAGTCAAAGGTTTGGACGCAACTACGCAATACAGGGCTTTTCCCTATTTCTGTTGTAAAGTTACTCTGCGCAACACAATGGGTGGCAAGTTGCAATACTAGAGTAATTCAACCACACTTTTTTAAAACCACAAACAACTTGTCAAGAAAAATGATGGTACGGAAACCCACACCTTACAAGCTGACAGGACTGAATCCCTTGTTTTCTAGGTACGAAACCCTGGAAATCTGAATCTGCGTTTTGAGACTGTCATCAATACACAACAGTTTCAAGAGTCATGCTCAGCCGTGGCATTCACAGCTTTTCTTGTTCACTCTACATCTTCTGGCTTATATGATAATTAAAAAAAAAAAAAAAACACTATATGGGCATGTTCACCAAGTAAACAAAACCTTTTTCACTGGAGGGGGTCAACATTCTGTCGTGACATCTGGTTTGGACTTAGTGGGAGCTATCTTTTGGTTTTTAACAGGACAGTGATCCTAAAGATACCTTCAGGCCAAGAAAAGATTACATGATCAAGAATGTTAAATGTTAAAGAAAGTTATATTAGTGTCCAGACGAGGCCAATGATTAAATCTATATTTGTATTGTCTTGTTAAAGTATGAAGCAGGTGATTCCTTCTGAGCACAATCCCTATTTTTAATGTTTGAGTGGAAAGAATATAATTTTATGACAATCTAATTTAAAAATGTATTTACTGAGTTCTTCTCCTTTTGTGTCTATAAACTGGGCAGCTACAAGCGAGACAGCATGTCATCATTTGTAACTTCGGGGCACCATGACATACCATGTGAAAGTAGGTTCTTAATTATAGAGTGAAGTAACGTACCTTTCACTGTCACGCTGAAATCCATCACGTCGTCCTTTGCATCGCAGACATATTGCCCAGCATCCTCTACTCTTAGAGAGTGAATGGTTAGTTGGCGCATGACACTATCCTCAAGGATAGTGATATTCCTGGAATCCTCCACTTCTTCCCCGTTCTTCTTCCACGTGACTTCGGCATTGGATCTTGAAACCTCGCAGTCAAGAACCAGAGTCTCCCCGGCCACTTTCTCGACTCTACTTGCCATCTTCCGTGGACGAATGAAGCGAACAGGGGGCTCTGTTTATTAAGAACATTTTGTGTTGAAATGAACAAACATTGACGCAGCAACACAAATGTTTTAATTGTGTATTTGTTTGTCCAGTTACCTGCTATGTTTACAAAGAACGTCACTGAGTCATCTGCTGTGTCACAGACATATTCTGCTGAGTCTTTAACAGTAGTTTCAGGGATAATAAGTCTCCTGTAGACACCATCCACCTCTAGAATGAGGTTGTCATTCTCTTCCACCTCAAGTCCGTCTCGATACCAGCGCACCACTGCATTGGGCCGTGAGATCTCACAGCTCAGTACCATCCTCTCAGAGGTCTGCTGACACAGCTCCATTTGTGATTGACTTGGGGATACTATTTGCACTGGAGGTTCTGGAAATGGACATTATGACCCATGTTTAATAAGTACTACAGGAAGTGTGCGATTGTAGAGGTTTAAAGAATAGAAGTCTAAGTCATGCAATAAACAATATACTACTCTAAATGGGAGCTCTTGGAATGGGAGTCCGCTCAGAGGACTTTATTCCATACATGTACAGTAAGTTGATCTACTTTTTCCGCACATGCACACCACTGATGAGCATCTGCACGATTGCCCCTGTAGTGTGCAGACTCTGACAGACTCTTAAAAATGATGAAATGTACATCAGACTGTAGGAGACCCTTACATACTTGATGACACAGGAAGTATATAACCAGCCTTAGACATTTCTTAATAACACTTGTCTTGTTCGTTTGAGGTTCACAGATACCTTAAATACCACAATCAAAACATTGTGCTTTGTGATGTTAGAGTATCTACATATGTACATACAGCATGTATAGAAGCAGAGATTTTACCTGTAATACTGAGGTGGAAGAATATTGAATCATCAGCTGTATCGCAGACATATTCTCCAGAGTCCTCAACTCCACTGGAGATGATCTTAAGTCGTCGATAGGGGCCTTCTATCTTGAGTTTGATGTTCTCGCTCTCTTGCAGCTTTTGGCCGTCCTTGTACCAACTGACAACACCGCTGGGACGAGACAGTTCACAGCTCAGAATGATTTCTTCAGGAACGTGACGGTCCAGATGAACATCCTCCTTGGGATAGATTATCATCACAGGAGGTTCTTTGGAGGAAGAATAAATTCGGTTGAAGCATCTGTTCATTCTGCTCCACAGGTAAAATCAACTTTAAGTGACTATGTTACACATTTTTCATGCAATGTATTTATAGGAAGGTTTAGTAAGATACCTCGTATGGTAACCTTGAAAATTAAAATGTTGTCTCCTGCACGGCATGTGTATGTGCCTGTGTCAGACAGTTGGGCTGAATGTATAGTCAGACTTCTTTTGGTGTCGTCTGCTTGCATTGTGACGTTACTGCTTGGTTGCATTTCTGTTCCATCTTTGTACCACTGGACAACACCATCAGCCCTTGATATTTCGCATGACAGCACAAGCTGTTCGTGTTCCACAACACTCTGGAAAAGGTCCTTCTCCGGGACATCTGCAAATGTTACCGGTGGCGCTGCAAAAGACAGTACACAAATGAAGTAAGTTGGTGCTTAAAAGTTTATCTCATTGTTTATGCTTAAGCATGCAATAGCTGTAAGGTCATTTTTTTCACAGCTTAAACATGCTGATCGTAAGCCTTGCTGTCTGAATGACGACTCGCAGACATCATGATCATCAAAAAGTGTTAATCCACTTGTCAAGCAAAGGGAAAACGTTATTTGAAGCTGTGCATTGATGTAATGCCATTACCATAGGTATGCCGAAAAACACGGGCTTATCAAAATACATGCTATTTTTGAAGACGCTGTCCTTGCGTAAAGCATGTATATGAAAAGCAGCTAAATGTGTAATGAAATTAGGACACTTAAAGGAAACTCTATGATGAATATGATGATGATCAGGTTTTGCTTTTTGAAATATTAGAGGTCATGGAGGTGAACGAAAATGAATAGTGAAAACATCTTGCCAAGAAAAAGCTCAGCACATCACCTTTAACCTCCACACAGAAATCGTTGAAATCTGAATCATCATCACCACTTTTACAATCGTACACCCCAGAGCATGAAGATGTGGCCGACGTCATGACCAGTGTCCTCTTATTGTTCTCTGAACTGAGGCTTATTCTTGATTCTGGCAAGAGTTTTACTCCATCCTCATACCAGTAGGTCTGGATTGCAGGGTCTGAGATCTCACACTGCAGTGTGGTGAGGCTGCCTGCTTCAACAGACTTGTTCCCCTCAGCCTCTGGAACAGCTGAGAATCAAACCCATGCTATAGGAATTTCAATTCATTAAACAGTAACAGATCATAATCATATTTGTTGTGTTATGCTACTCTATGTAACGTACTTGGCTTTACTTGCTTAAGAAAAAAAAAAGATGTCAAAATTGATATTTGGCTCCTGATTGAACAGACGGCATGATTATCGGTCTAACAAAGTTTGTACTTATGCAAGCCAAGAGGGAAATTACAGAGTTATTGTAACATAGTATTGCTATGTAGTAATATACTGTCACTTACAAAGATGTCACAAACACGTTAGTGAATTGTAGGGATCGACCAGTAATGGGTTTGGCTGATTATCAAACAATATTCAGCATTTTTTTGATAACTGATGTTTATTTCTATATTTTTTGAACTAATTCCCAATAAAAAAAAAAAAAGAAATTAATTCAAAAACGTGCTACTTTGGCTGTCTGTAGTCACCCCTCTATGGTCCTGATGCCACAGCAACCTGTCAACACTGAAGGATAAATGCTGAAAAGTTCTTTTTAAAATAAACACCTGTATAAGTAAACATAGGCATCTCAGTGCAGTTTTGTGTTGGAGTTTGTGTTATTTTCATTTTAACTGTAAATACATGTAAACTCCAAAAATCTATCTATTGCTCAGCTAAGAATGAGAAAACCACTTTGGTCGACCCCTAGTAAATAGTTGCCTATTGACACACCAACAGATAGAGCAAACATAGCATTAGTTTGGTGTTGTGTTTGTGTCTCTTCAATAAAAACAAGTCTAATATTCACTCTGTTTTTCAGACTGTTTTGGTGTCCATCAAATCCTATGGAAATCTTACACTGCTTAATGCACCGGAGTGTTCGCCAGCTACCTGTCAACTGTGCCTGTCTATTCTTTGGTGCAGGGCTGGCATGCACGGTGCATCTGTAATCAGGGTTGATGGAACTTTAAAGTTGCAGGGCTTAAAAAACCCAAACCTTACACTGAGAAACACTGAGAGCTGAATGGAGCAGCAGGGTCTGTTGATAGGCAACTGTAAATTATTACTGTGAGACACCTCTAAAATCACATAAAGTAATTTGGTCATTAAAAAAACACACATTAGTGCAGTTTTAACAACTGTCAGGGATGACACTCAGAGACAAATCACTATTCATATTATTATGAAATTATTAATTACCAAGGTAAAATTTAAGTAAAATCTGTCACATTATTTTCTATAAGGGTAAATATGTTACCGAAAAAACATAGTTCGCTAAATAGAAGTACATAATTAAGCATTAGTGCCCATTGTCTTAGAAAACTAGATTATAAAAATGACATTTTTTAGCCTAAGTCGGTCCAGTAGCCAAGCATTAATTGAAAGTTAGTAACTCTGACAAAGCTCAAAATACTTAGATCACCTGCAACATCCACCTTGAATTCTATTTGGTCATCTGCGGCCTCACAGCTGTACACCCCAGAGTGTCTGACTTCTGCTGATTGAATAACCAGCCCTCTCACTTTTTCTTTTGTTTCGATTTCATATTCGCTCTTTGGAAGCAGCTGTTCTCCGTCTTTGTGCCAATAGACTTGGGCAGTTGGCTCTGAGACTTCGCACTGCAGCCTAACTGGGGAGCCTGCTTCGACAATTTTTTTTCTTGCCACCTCTGGAAGCGTTGAAAACCTCACAGGAGTAGCTGAAGGGTATTATAAGATTTTCAAAGCACTGCTGTTAAGCTGGCAAAACATAATTTACCAAGTCGTGTTAAATGTAGCACATCAAACTTTTTGGTTTGGTTATTTTAGCACAGTCAGTATTGGGAACTCTGTGTTTTCATACACGCTGACTAAATGCATTTCTTTAAGAGCTTTGGCTCAAACAGTAATTTCCACAGAGAAGTGTACAGTTAAAGGTAACTAAGGAGGCCATGCTAATTTTTTTTGTCTCACACCTGTAAGCGTATTAATTAAAAGTGAATACAAGAAAATCACCTTCGACGTCCACTTGGAATGTCACAACATCATCAACGAGGCTACAGCTGTAGAGGCCAGAGTCACAGACCTTAGCAGAATGGATTATTAACTTTCTGAGGCTGCCATCTCTTTTCATATCAAGACCTGTTTTGCAAAAAAGCTCCACCTCATCTTTAAACCAGGAAACCTGGGAAACAGGGTCTGAGACCTCACACTGGAGGATAATTGGACAACCAATTGCAATCAACCTGTATTTTTCAGACAGTGGGATTGGCATGATCTGTGGCGATCGGCCTAAGAGAGGGGAATAACAAGGGTTTGGATAAGAGATTGATTCACTAACAGTGGACAAATACACACTACACAGCCAGTCATCCCATTTTCTCATGACCATTCAAAAACATTTTTGCCACTCACACCACAGAATAAGATGGATGTGGTAAGAAGAAGATAGCAAGGATAGAAATGAATCACCTTCTATTTCCACTTTAAAGGTGATGGTGTCCTCTGATGTTGAACACTTATAGGTACCGGCATGTCTGTTTTCAGCTGAAGGGATCAGCAGCGTCCTTGTCAATCCATCTGATTGTATTTCCACATTGTTTTGTGGCAGGAGCTTCGTCCCGTCCTTATACCAGTCGACATGAGCCGAGGGATCATGAGTGAGTTCACAGCTGAGGACAAGGGGAGAGCCTTCTCGGACAGACTTGGTTCTGTCATTCTCTTGCAGCTCTGAGAACTTCGCAGGTAGAGCTACAGATTTCGGATATTGCAAAAAGAGTGTCTTAATAAACGTCATAAAAGTTCATTTCTGGAAGTAATTAAACATCCAACCTTCTGGCAACTTAAATTCAACCAAAACAGCAAGCGGATGACAAAAGGTCCTTCAGAGAAAAACACATTTGACAAAACAACATAAACAACAACTGACACAACAAGGACAATAAGTAAATGTCTAGAAGAACAACAAGCATGTTGTGAAACTGAAGTGTTATACAAGTTATTGTACACCAACAAAAAATACAGGGAAGACACAAGAAAGTAGCAGGTGTTCATGGCATAGGAGGTGTATTTAGTTAGTGCTATTTATAAAAATGAACAAGACACATGTAACACTGGCTCCTTAACATATTGGATACGGAAAGTCAGAAGTGGCATTGTGAAATTAGATGTTTAATTTTTGATATCTAGAGAGAAGACATCTTGTATTATTTAATTTTGCTTCTGTTATATCGTTAAAGTAATGGGCATCACGATTAGATGGAGTAGTATTTCTTTAAATGCACATAACGTGACATGCAATTTATATTTGGATTTTTTTTTAAAGTTTGTCTTTAGTTTTTCCAGCTTGTGCCAGGAATGTGTTTGGGAAGCAGAAGATGTGATTAGACACACATAACTCAGTCACTGCTGTTGCGTTAGTGGCAGTGCAAGACAGTGAAAGCGCTGCGGGATTCTTGAGCTTCACCTTTTACTTCCACATCGAACTGGATGTCATCATCCTTTGACTCACAACGGTACACGCCAGTGTGAGCCCGCTCAGCTGACGGGACAACAAGACTCCTCAAATTTCCCTCTGACTGGATGTCTACTCCACTTTGAGGTAGGAGCATTTCTCCATCCTTGTACCAACTGACGTGTCCAGTGGGGTCTGACAGCTCACATTGTAGAGCAATGGGAGAGCCCGTTATGACCGTCATTTTCTGGTCAGCCTCAGATAGAGCTGAAAATGTCAGAGGTGGAGCTACAGGATTGGATGTAAAATAGAATTGGTCAATAAAACATGGGCTGTTATAAACCAAATGAAGCAAAGCACAATCCTGTAACTGAAGTCATCATAATCACCCATTAAAAGTATACAAAAAAAACATTGTTTCTCTGTTTGTTGCTTTTAAATTCTACTTTATACAGTTCACAGACAGTAAAAACCTTAAGAGAGCTAAAGTAAAAGACAACGAACAGTTTAATTAGTGCTGACACAGTCTGTATATCTTGAATTAGATCCAACAAAGGCATAATGCATATTTAGTCAAATTTAAGTCTTATGCACAAAATTTCGAGCCTGACTTAAGTTAAATCTATAATTTTATTTAATTTAGCTTTGAAAAATTCTTGTCTTTGCAGTGGGAGACAGGAAAGTTAGAAGCACTGCAATGGCCAGTCACCTCACTTGGTCAAGCAAAAAGTGAATGGACTAATGAAATCCTGGCCACTTGAAAAAAAAAAAAAACAGTTCTGCTTTATTTAGATTTTACTGTGAAGACCACCAGGAAGTTAGGGTCAAAATATCCATGACTGTGTCAAAGCTGTGTGCTTCTATGTCTCCTGGTAAGGACTTGGGAAAAAACAACAACAAAAACATCTTTATGAAGGGCATTAAAGAGAAGGATACTCTATCTGTGGAGCACATATATTTGATTTTACTGCCACATGTCGATCATGTGCCATAGAGAGCCATGGCCCCATCCCTTACTGAAGCTAAACTTTGTTCTGTTATTTGAAAGCAGAAATATTGAACAAAAGTTACTGTATCCCTAAAAAAAAACATATGTATGAGAGAACAAACTTTCCAAAACAAATGTATTTAGATGCATTTAACCCTCACTGAAATCTATATGTAGAACAGATGAAAATAACTTTTGTCACCTTTAACGTCCACATGAAACTGCATTGCATCATCTGCTGTCTTGCAGCTGTAAGTCCCTGCATGAGACAGCATCGCTGACTGGAAAGCCAGTGTTCTTATGGAACCTTCTGCCAGCATGTCTTGCCCAGCTGCTTCGAGTAGTTTTATCCCATCCTTGTACCAAGTAACTTGAGCGTTAGGATCTGTTATCTCACAGTGCAGCACTATGGGTTCACCAACTTCAACAGACTTGTTCCTCTCAGTCTCACCAAGTGTTGTAATTCTCACAGGCGGAGCTGGGGATGTTTGGGGTAACATCAAAGGAAAATTGGATCACTATTACTGACTGCGACAAAAATTATGCTTTGAAAATAACAAAAAAAGGCAAAATCTCAAATCAAGATTAGTCATGCCAATAAATCTTAAGAGTTAAAATAAGTAATTAAAAATATAACCTGAATTATTAGTAATCTAACAAGAGGTATCTTTGGTTAGACTTAAGGTAACTAGGCATTCAAGTTAGAATTTGAGGCTATTGTATATACCTTTTTTCTCTGTCTAGAATATTCCTTACAGACCACCCAAGCTCAAAGTTTTACATCAGCTATAAAAGTAGTTTTAGTATGAACAAAATCAAGTAAGTAAATGTAGAAATTGTCAAAATGCCAAGGATTGCAAAAAGCAATCTCTTCATTTTGCACAATGTCAACATTGTGCCCGTCCATTTTTGTTCGATAATGCTAACCATTTAAATCACCTTCAACAGCCACCTTATTTGCAGTGACAATGTCACTCCAGTGACTGTCACGTGTCCTTGATAGATAGAGCTCCTCTGATTGGACAGCAGATGCTTGCTTGATATAGTAAGGCTCTGCAAAGTGGATGGATGATCTTTGCTCAGGGTTAAATGTGCTGTCTACTTGGTCTTTTGTGGTCTCCATGTTGTGATGACACTCTGCTTGGTCTGTTGCTTCTTGATTCGACCGACACAGCACCTCTGAATAGTTACATACTGTTTGTGCAGTATGATAGCGACCATCCAAACTGACATATTCAGACTGTCGCAAGTTGTAATGTTCTGGTTGGACAGTCTCTACCTCTTTAGGGTCAAACGAGTCCAAGGATTGACGGGGTGCTGCGTTAGGAAAGTCACTGAGCTTCTCTGACAGGACGGTAGATGTTTCTAGGAGTCTGTTTAACTCCTCTGATTGGTCCATTGCAGTCCATAAAGAGTTACAGGGCCCCACTGAATAGATAGTTTCAGTTTGTAAGCAATCAAGAAGCTTCTCTGAAAGGACAGCTGGCTTCTGCATGGAGCTATAGGCCCCCTCTGATTGGACAGTTGCAGCCTGTAAAGATTTAAAAGGCTCCTCTGATTGGACAGTAGCAGTCTGTAAGGATTTAAAAGGCTCCTCTGATTGGACAGTAGCAGTCTGTAAGGATTTAAAGGACTCTTCTGATTGGACATTTGCAGCCTGTAAAGATTCAAAAGGTTCCTCTGACTGAGGGGTTGCACTTTTTAATGAGTTACAAAACATCTCTGATTTGGCTGTTGAAATCTGTAAGGTGTTAGTAGGGTGTTCTGGCATGGTAGTCGAAGTCTGTGGGGGGTTACCTAGCTCTGAATGGACAGTTGGCATTTGTACTGAGCTGCGTAACTCCTCTGAGCGGACAGTTGGAATCTTGAGGGTGGATTCCTCTGATTGAGCAGTTGCAGTTTGTAAAAAATTACAAAAATCGTCTGCATGGACAGCTGTCTGCAGGGAATTATCAGGTTCTTCAAATGGGGCTTCTGTATGCTGTGCATAGTAAATGAATTCCTCACCTTGTGACTCAGTGGGCTGTTTAGTGTGATGGTGTGTGTCAGATTGAATTGTTGTTGTCTGTACAGAGTTACAGTGCACTGGAGATTGGGCATGTATTATTTGTTGATCGTCTGAGAGCTCCTTTGGCTGTTTAGTTGCAACACAGTCAGTCACATTTTCATATGTTGACTGAGAAGTTGGCATATGCCTGGAATAGTCTTCGCATGTCAGAGTATCTCCTCCCCTGCCACAGAAGGTGCCAGAATTGCATTTTGAGGACATCTGGATAACTTCAACAGGATAAGCCCCTTCAGTGGACTTGTTCTTCTCTTGGTCAGAAGAGAGCCTTGGCGATGTAGCTATAAGCATTGTGATGTACACAGAGAAAGGTTTTCAGTGGTTGATGGTGTCAACACTTCTTCTCATAACAGAATTTTACATCATTGTGGGTTAGCATGGAGTTATGGGAAAATCCATTGCAAAGACAAACAAGAAGGTCGACCAGGTCTGGTCTGCAAGTGAGCACCAATATGTTTCCCTTCAACTGACACCTAATATTGTCATGCCGTCAATCTGTACAATAGCCCCTTTAAAACCTAAAAAGTACATCAATTTTCTTCTCTTTGATAAGAGTTCGTTGTCATTGCAACGGGGAGAGGTTCAGGGCAGCAATGTGAATGAGAAAATCTGGTGATGAAGACATAAGATGAACTTAAAGAGTTGTAAGTTGCTTGTTACAAGCAAAGATGGCTGTTAAAATGAAGAATGAACTGACAAACACAACATATATGTTAGTATGAGAAGCAGCTACACAGCTACTAAACAACCACGTTTGATTAAGAGCCAAAAACAGCAGGAAATGACCTGAGACCAATGATGACAATGTGACACAAAGCAATTTTCTAAAGAAAAAAGATTTACAGATGCTTCAGATGATTGAGCTAACGATAAAATACACCACTATTGTTAGTGGCATTTATGTGCTGGGTTAAAATGGATGACTGATGTTGTTGAAATATCAAATCACCTTCGACATCCACAGTGTATTGGGCAGATGCATCAGCTATCTCACCAATCTCGTCACCATAGTGACACTGCTCTGCTGTTTGGACAAAGCCAAAGAGAAAACAATGAGCTGGGTGATAGCTTCACGTATGTAACTAAATTCTTGATTCTTAATTGTGCAGGTACAATGAGGAACACCACCTTTCGTTTCCTCATTTAACTGTGAGACACAAGATGCTTCACAGTCAAACCTCTCATCACCAGACAAGTACTGTGACTGGAGGGGCAAGATTCGGCTGCTGCTCTCTGAACTGCAGTCAGCTTCCCTTTTCGGATAGATCTGGGTTCCATCTTTGTACCAACAGGCTTTGGCAATGGGATCTGAAATCTCAAATTGCTGAACAATTGGGCAGTGTGCTTCAGCAGATGTGGCCTTCTCGACGTCAGGGTCAAGCTGATATGTTGGAGGTGGCACTACAGACAATCATCGAGGGGATAATTTTAGTCACATTAGCCTAAAGTTTAGAAAAGACTGACTTTAAAAAGAAACTGTGACAGACATTATTATAGATTTGCACCTAAAAGCTACATAAAGAGTTAGTCATAACTAAAATAGAAAACACACTTGCAAAAAAAAAAAAAAAAAAAAAAATTCAATCACCTTGATTTTTTACTATTAATTGGGCAACATCATCTGCTGTTGCACAATAGTATGCTCCAGAGTTTGAAGGGTGAGTTGGTTCAATAACAAGGGTCTTCTTGATGCCTCCCATTTCAAAATCAGGTTCTCTGTCTGAATCAGGTTCTGTATCCTTCTGCCATGACACCTGGAAAGCAGGGTCTGAGGTTTCACAGGGAGCTTCAGTGGCACAAGTTGCTTCGAGTGACTGCGTCTCCACAGCCTCCGGTGAGGGCGACAAAGCCAACGTTGGAGCTAAAGATGATGATTCATATTTTAACTGTGGACTTAACAGTGCATATTTACACTCTGAAGAAAGGGGTTATAGGTTCAGCTTCCCCAAACGGGGAAGTAATCTGTCATATCTCAAATTCAATGAGAAATACATTTTCAAGGGTTAAATATTATTACAAATACATTTTCACTTTGTGAGTGGTTTAAGACAACTTCACACAAAGCACCACTTAAAACACAGACAGACAGATATGCATATTGTGAATGTTAGTTGCATCTAGTCTCCAGAAAGCTCTAGGATTTGCTCTAAAAGTGAAACAGTTTAATTTTGAAAAATCACCTTTAATATCCACAGTGAAGTGGACAGTGTCATCAGAGGTTTCACAGCTGTATAGCCCTGAGTGCAAGAGCCCAGCAGATGGGATAATGAGTCTCCTCGATGTGCCATTACTCTGTACATCCCAGCCACTTTGCAGGTTGAGCTTTTTACCATCTTTATACCAGCAGACAGGCACAGTGGAGTCTGCAACCTCACATTCCAGCTCCAAAGGTTTGCCCACTTCAAGTGACTTGGTTCTCTCAACGTCAAAGATAGTAGAGTACGTCACTGGTATAGCTAGCATTGGGAATTCAGGACAGCTAAATAAAATCAAGGCTGTGGAAATGGATACCTCACAAAAATGTAACTGCTGAGCAGAAGATATAAAGGGCTTTGGAGACTTTCAATTCAAAGAGAGCCATGGCAGTCACAAAACAAATGAATATAAATAGTAATCACCCACTGTGTTAACAGTTCTTTAAAGTTATGTGCATGAAACAGTCCTTCAAACCACATAGTAGAAGCGGGGATTATTAGTGGCATCTAGAAAGAGGGGTGGGGTTACAGTATGAACGCACAAGATAAGAAGTGTAAAGTCACCTTTGATCTCCACTTGAAACTCCACAGCATCATCCTGTGTGGTGCATTTGTACACACCAGAGTGGCACAGCTCTGCAGACTGAACAACTAATGTCCTTGTGGTGCCCACTGACTGGATTTCTAATTCAGAGTTTGAAATGAGCTCCATTTCATCCTTGTACCAGCAAACATGGGCCTCAGGATCCGACACCTCACACTGGAGTACCACAGGGCAGCCTGCTTCAATCGACTTGGTCCTCATGTCTTCAGGAATAGCTGAGAACTTCATAGGTGGAGCTATAGATATGTTTAGATTTTGTGTCAGCCGTAAATCAGCCTCATGCCAGTCTTTAGATTATTCATCATAATCTATTTACTGACAACTAAATTGCTAACATGCTACAATACAGTGAAAGAAAAAGTGACAACTTAGCTGCACATTCAATAAGCACTAAGAAGAAAGGTAATGGACAACATACAAGAGTGTCATTGGAGTTAGTTGCTTTGCTGAGAAGGAGCTTGTTAATGTTTCACATCACTTAAGGTAAAACATATCACCTTTGATGTCCACACTGAATGTGGTGGTGTCACCCTTTGTCTTGCAGCAGTATAAGCCAGAGTGGAAAACTTCTGCTGAATGGACAATCAATTTCCTTGCAATGCCATCAGTTAAAATATCTACTCCACTTTGAGGATGGAGCTTTGACCCATCTTTGTACCAGTGCACCTGGGCAGACGGGTCTGAGAGCTCACATTGTAAAACAATGGGGAAGCCTGTTTGGACGGTTTTGTTCCTCTCAGCATCTGGAATTGCTGAAAACCTCACAGGTGGGGCTATGGATATTTAGATATTTCAATGGACTGTTAAATTGTAAAAGTTATGTGTTTTGAAAAGTCAGACTTTAAGAAAAGAAAACATGCATTTTTTTTTTTTACATAAAAAAGATCAGATAAGAAAAAGTGGTACAGGTGACAATGAAGATGGTTAGTTTCTGTGAAAGACACTAGTATTTTAAGAAACTCTCTCCACTCACCCTCTACTTCCACATTGAACCTGATGACGTCATCAATGGCATCACAGCAATATACTCCTGAATGTGAGAACTCTGCTGATTGGATGACAATTCGTCTCATGGTGCCCTCTGATTGGATATGAAGACCCTCCATTGTTTGTAATTCCACCCCATTCTTGTACCAGTGCACTGGAGCTGCAGGGTCTGACAGCTCACAGTAGAGCACAATGGGGTTCCCGATTTCTACAAATTTGTTTCGATCCATTTCGGACAGTGGGGAAAACTTGACAAGAGGAGCTGAAAATGTTAGAAAAACAATAAGAGCATCACTGAGTCTTGTCACCACGGATAAGAACTGAAGGGTACAGTATGTTAGTGCCATCTTGCATTTTCATGGCCAAACATTTTTTTGCAAATTTGTCTTACCAAATTCCAGTTAAAACAAAACAAACAAACAGAACAGTAAACGTCAGGTTAACTAACCCACATACTCAAGCAAATTATTGAGTGGATCGACACATACCTTGAATGTAAAGCGCTGCAGAATCCCGGATGCCATAGGCAATAAATGTAATCTCAGCTCCGTTGTCTGTATCGCGTACTCCTCGAATGCGAAGAGATTGGTGGGTTCGAGACCGACGCATGGAATAACGCTCATCCTCCTGAAGCTGAGTTCCATTTAAGAACCACGTACCAATCACTGAAGCAGAGAGTTCAATAGAGAAGAGTCCATCTTGGCCCTCTGGCACCAAGGCGTCCTGTAAGGGGGCTTGTATTCTGGCCACAGGAACTAAAAAAGAAAATCACTTTGTTCAGGATTTAGCAAGCAATATCCTCAACCATGCTGTGATCAAGGAAAGCAATGCTTGATTAGGCAATGTTGTTTTAGTATATCAGAACTTACCTAAGTGAACAGTTCGAGGGAACTCAACATTGTTGCTCTTTCCATATTTGTTTACACTACAAATGCGAAACCGATAGTCGGCCTCACATGGGACACTGTCACCAAGGATCTCCACTGACGTCGCGGAGTCAGTGGTCAGACACTGTAGCCACTCCTGTGATCCAGTGCCCACTTCTTGTCGCTCCAGCACATATCCAGACGGAGGGTTCTTTCGTGAGTCTTGAGCAGGAACCCATGAGAGAAGCGCTGCATTAGCACGCTCTGTGTTGATCTGCACTCCCACCGGACAACTAGGAGGACAATGTCTAGCCGCTGAAACAAGAAAAATGGGTCATACATCAGCATTACTTTAGAATGGAAAATCTGATAAAAGTAGGTCAATTCTAAAACAGTCCAAATGACACTAATAAGATTTTTTTTTTTAAAGTTTTGTGGCAAAAATACATTGAAACTGCTAAATTTTATCTACCTTTCACTCTGAGCTGGGAGGAAGTCTTGGATCTTCCTACAAGGAAGGTCACAAGGCCAGAGTCTTGAGGCATTGTATTGACGAAAACCAAGATGTGAGTTCGACCGAAGGACTTCAGGATGGTTTGATGGGTTTCACGCAGCTCCACACCATCCTTGTACCAATGTATGTCCATCTCTTCTTTTTCCACTTCAACGCAAAAGGCTGCATTTTCACCTTCCAAGACATCCACTTTTCTTGGAAGCTTCCGCAATATTGTACCTGCAAGGAAACACGTGAATGGTGCTGTGTCACATTTACACGGCAAGGATTCTGAATAGATATGGACAACAAGTTCTGCAAACAAAACAAAGTATGTAGGTGATAATTGCCAACCAGTATGGCACACGTTTTTTTTTTTGTTTTGTTTTGTTTTTTTGTCTGAAATAATACTACTCTCCTAGTGACATAATTTGTTGGGTTTTGACAAAACACGGCAACAACAACAACAACAAAACTCTAAAATGACCAACTCTTCAGATTTTGTTGGTGTATAACAGCCTTGGACTGTTTTCTCACTTCTAGTTAAAAATGCTGAGACAAGACTTTGTCACTTGAATGTAAATTCTTCTCATTTCAGGCATGTGTTGTTCATATATTCTCGACTCACTACAAGCGAAATATGTCAAACTTTTAATTGTTGTAATTTTGATGATTATGGCTTAAAGCTTGTAGAAATTAGAAATCCAGTATCTAAAATCTGTTTATACTTAATAAGATCATCAAAAAAAAGGGTTAACAATACAGAAATGTCTTCTGAAAAGTATATTCATTAAAAAACGTAATACTCGGCTGGGTCTCCTTCACCATGAAGTACTGCATCAGTGTGACGTGGCATGGAGGCGATCAGGCTGTGGCACGGGCTGATGTGTTAATGAAGCCCTGGATGCTTTTAAACAACCTTCAGTTCGTCTGTATTTTTGGGTTGGGCATTTCTCATCTTCCTCTTGACATACTTCATATGGGGTTCTATGGGGTTCAGGTCAGATGAGGTGCCCAACTAATTAGGCACAGTAATATCATAGTCAGCAAACCATTTGGGAGTAGTTTTGGCACTGTGAGAAGGTGCTGCGTCTTGTTGGGAATAGTATCTACATAAAGCATCTCAGCAGATGGAAGCATGAAGTGCTCTAAAACCTTGTGGTAGATGGCAGTATTGACTTGGGACTTGAAAAAACACAGTGGACCACCACCAACAGATGACACGACACCAAGAACCATCACAGACTCCAGTTCTTTTTCCCTCTTTAGTCCAGGTAAGACACTTGTGACGGTGTCTCTGGTTCAGAAGTGGTCTGATAGTAGGAATGTGACAGTTGTAGCCCCGTCTGTGCTCATCTGTGCTTGGTGGATCTTGAATCAACTTTTCTTGACAGTCCCCTCATGGTGGCGTTCATCCCTGTTGCTTGTGCACCTTTTCCTACCACACTTTTCTCCTTTGAGTCAACTTTCCATGAATATGCTTCAATGCAGCACTCTACCAACTGCCACCCTTTTCACTAATGGCCTCCTGTGGCCTACACTCCTTGTGGATGTCATTGATCGTTTTCTGCAAAACTTTCAAGTCAATACTCTTCCCCATGATTGTGGTTGCATGAACTGAATTAGACCAGTTAAACAATCAGGATTTCTGATTTTCACGAGCTATAAGCCATAATCACCAATCATCTACTTTATGTGCAATGACTCTACAATATGACACATTTTCAAACTAATACTTTTTTTTTTTTTACGATGTTCTAATTTTTTGAGATGCCCTAGTATACTTGCTAAACAATCTTAAAATATATCTATTCCTCTCCACCCAAAAAATAGTAAAGGTATGACATAAACTGAAAATTAAATTACATGTGTATGCTTTTTTATTTACTCTTTGAAAGCAATTTTATTATCTGATTCTGATTTACCTTTAACAGCCACCTCTGCAATGCTTCGACCCCCATCAGGCATCTCGCAGAGATAAATTCCATCATCGTCGACTCCAATGTCACGGATTGTTAGTCGTCGTTTTGTTCCCCACTCCTCCATTCCGTATTTGGCCCCTGGCTGCAGTCGTCTGTCCTCCAGATACCATGTGATGGGAACAGAGTCCTCAGGAACTTCACACTCGAGAACAGCTAAATCTCGTTCCCATACTTCTAGATCAATGAGAGGCTGCTTGAACCGGACAGGTGGCTCTGGGACCAAAGGAAGGGAAAAATGCCAGGTTAGTTAAAGCAACGTGACATGTCCTGTGATCGTAGAACAAACAAGGAAAATTTTATCGTATCTATTTAATGACAGCAACGCTTTATGTATATCACTCAAGCAAGTTGACGCTGTGAAAACTCACAAGACATAAGTATGTAATTGTAGTAAACACTATAAACTGAACCACATTTGACAGGGAATTCCAGTTAAGCAAACAAGATGAGCAAAATCATGAGATAAGTGGCTTATTTAGTTGAGGAATGGGAAGGTCATTAACACATCAGGGTGTTAGATAGGAAATAAACTGTTTGTAACTGACACCATCAGACAGTACCAGACAGTTGTAAACAAAAGAATGTGGACTGTATTTAGTAGCCTGTGTGCAAAGCTGTTCATTTCCTTATCTTACTAATGTTTTAACAAGGCCAATTACACACACACAACTGACAAGTGGAGAAAAACATTTGCCGTCTCCCGTTTAAATTTCCTTCACATTTACCCACTAGCCAGACCGTTAAGACCGTCTCTGTGTTGTTTTCTCTAGATCTAATTGATACAGTACAATACTTTGGCAGTGCCATGAGTTTGGACTTCCCTGGGCCATGTGAGAAATATGATCCCCTTCCCAAAGATTTTGATCACATGGACGCCCACCCCTAGGCCTTTCACAAGCTAAGTGACTTTGCAGACATCATACTGCTGTTGAAATCCACCTCAGGCTGATGAACCCTGCTTGTTTAGATATTTCTTGGGTCATATTTCAGATCGTTAATACTTTTCGTTAATCCTCCAGCGGACCCGGGATCATTTGATTGCTGATTATATTTGCAGCTCGCTGGCCTGCTGACCTGCTCTTTTAAAAATTCAACTGACTGCTGATGCAGAGGGATATACATGACACTTAACTGAATTCCTTAGGTAGGCATTTTAGGCAGCAAATGAACTATGAAGTAAGAATTACTCATACGTGTGGTCTTTGCTTTGCACATGCACTGCTCATTATCCTAACTGAAATACTGAGATAACAATATTTATCTTCTTTTTTGCCATTAAGTTCTATGTTTTGCTTATCAATCCAGTTTTTCAGATGGGGGGGAACCTTTACAGAACCACTAGAATGAAACAGAACACAATCAGTATTGGGGTATTTTACTTGCAACTAAAACTCAACCTGTATTGCCAGGGACTTTTTAGACATTAAGCTTTTTTTCATGTTTGTAGGCTTTCTATGGTGAAGCATATCCTTAAACCACGGGGGAACTCTTCAAACTTTCCTTTTGCCATCTTTCCTTGGCCCTACCCCAGAAAGTGATCTCAGAGTACCACTTTATCTCACTGACATCATCCTAGCATCAAATGGTTAGAAATTTGAGCCAAGAACACACCACTCCCTACTCACTACTTTACTCACTGAAAAAAGAAGGACCTAGACAGGCTGGGACTGTGTCTGTATTTGCTTTCTCAACTGTACCCGACATTTTTCATAATTAAAACTCTGAAGTAAGGAAAACTGATCTTGACTTACCCTTGACGGAGAGGTGTACAGCACTGAGGGTTTGCCCCGCGGTATTTGATGCAGCACAAACATAAACTCCATTATCCTTCTGCTTACAATACAGAACTTTAAGTGTGAAGTATCCTTCTCTGTCCTCGTATAACAAGTAACGTCTTCCTGACAGTATGAGCCTGCCATCTTTCCTCCAAATGATCTCTGGCTTGGGTTTACCAGTCACAAAGCAGCGAAATTTGGCATGCTTGCCCTCTGTCACTGCAAACATTTTTACTTTAGTTGACTTGGTCATGGTGTCATCTTTAAGGCGGTTCGGCACTTGCCTACCACTCCTTTGTTTTCCCTGGTGGGCTTTCCAGTGGCCATTTGTGTAGCCATTACGATTTCCTTCTTCCTCGTGCCCTGGACCTGCATCAACGAGCAGCACAGCTCCTGCCAGTGCTTCCCCAAACTCATTCCTTGCTTTGCATGTATATACACCACCATCAGGAGCACGAGTCTTAAAGATCTTGAGCTGGAACCATCCCCCGTCCTGGTAGCCCACACTGAAATGTGTGCTTTCAAATATTTCATTGAGTTTTCTACCGTCCTTTTCCCAGACCACCTCTGGCCGTGGGCTTCCCCAGAGCTTGCACGAGAAGACGGCATCTTCCCCACGACCAACGCGAGTGGAGAGTGGTTTGATGAGGAATCGGGGCTTATTTTCTTCTCGAAGCTCCATCTCTTGTGCTTCCCCTTCCACCTTCAGTGTGGCGGCTGCATATGTTTCACCGATGCTGTTCTTTGCTTTGCAGATGTACTGACCACTGTCCTCAGTGGTAACAGCTGAAATGATGAGATTGTAAACATTGCCATCCTCAAAGACCCTATAGCGTCCTTGTGGGTCAATCTTTTCATTGTTTCGCTCCCAGATAACGGCAGGCCTCGGATCACCACCAATTTGACACTTTAGGACTGCGTCAGCCCCACTTTGTACCACCACAGGTCTTGGATAGGCTAAGAAACGAGGCGCACCACCAAACACATCCATTTCTGCTTCTGTGACAGCCTTCCTTCAACTTAAGCAGACCGGGGGAGCAACAAGAGGCTATTCACTGAGGCAAGACTGTCCAGCTTCTGCACTGCAAGTTTCTAAACACACACAAAAAGAAATAACAGAAGAATTATTTACTATCAAACAGTTTGTGCAGTTTAGATAACACAGAAACATATTGAAATTGTGTTTTTTGTAACAGGTAATTCTGTCTTGCGTGCACTAAGAGTATATGTTCTGAGATCATACTTTCTGTTTTTCTATAGCAAACCAACCCTTGTCTTTTGGAATAGAAAGTAAAACTTCATTCAAGCACTCAGCCGCCACCCCCTGTTAAGTAGACGTGTTTCAGCACAAACAGATGGCATGATTATTAGGACTAATTGAATTAGATCTGTCTGCATGGGAGAAAAACACAGCCCAGCAGTACGAGGAGGAGCAGCCTAGTCCTCCTCTTGCAACAGCAGCCACAACACATAGCCAGTACAGCTGGTGCTGTATTTCAATGGGAAAGTGCTTAATATAGTACACCCTAAATAAAGACCTGTGAGGGAGTGTGTGTCAGGTATCACAAAGATGGCTCAGAAACCCGCGTGCTCACACAAACACCAGCCGAAATCATAGTCTTGCCCACCCAAGAGACCTTGCTGTCAAAATATGCTGAGCCTCCATCACACCCTTTTGTTGGCAGCTCTGTTACAGAATTCATTCTTTAAATGTCACTGTTTAGATTATTTTCCTGCCATGTTCCCAAATGAGTATCGCTTCGACAATCTTAGAAATATGTTTTCACAAGGGTTTGTTTTCTCGCTCTCCTCTCTGCTCTCCTTATGACAGTTTGTGTAATTTTATCCCGTAGAGAATATATTCAACAGTGCGCTGAGCGTGTGTGTTTTGGGACACGTCCTCGAGTGTTGTAACTTCGTTGCATGTGAATGCAGAAAACAAAGTTTCAAGTCTCAAAGGAGATAATATTAGAGTTGTGTTTTCAAAGCCGCCAAGCTGTCCGTCATAACGTTACGCAGGATTTATTTTGAGAAGTAATTTTAACTGAAACGTTTAACAGTACCAATATATTAATGGTTATAATCATAATAAATTATTGTTCTTACCCCAACACACAGTGAGGTGCTAGACAACACAACAACTCTCTTGTATTCTGTAAGTGAGAGACAACACTAGCAAAATAAAAAATACAGTTTTTCAAGTTGTATTTGTCCAGCCAAAAAAATGAATTTGATCAAAATATTGAGGTAAAAAACAAAATACCAAACTTAATTTCCTAATGAGCTGAATGCTGATGGAAAAGTAGTATATTTTGCATAACTCCTTCGTATATTATTTTGTATAACCAGACGTTTACATGCTTATATGTTACATAAAATAAAATAAAACTCTTTTTCAGATCGCAGTGTGCTTTATTAACACAGCGTGGACACCGCGTTATAAGTGTCTTCGATATTCCCCAGTTGAGGTTTAAAGAGAGGAGATTAACCCCTGTGTTTACTTGTCTGATTTAATTGGAATGACCTCTGCCCCTTGTGAAGCTGTGCTGTGTACCCCTCACATGACCTACCTCGCTTCAGTCGCCAGGAACGACCGTCAACATACATTCCGCACTTGCGATCTCCGTCCGAGTTAAGAAGCAATGCCTCCCGTCTCCTGAAGGCTGAGTAATGTCCCAAGTTGACTTCAGATCCACACACATGCTATCCTCAGAGGTCCCAAGTTCTGCTCCGGTGCATCTTTAACAGAGTTGTTTTGTCCGACAGAAGAGACAGAAAACAAAAACTTCAGCATCCACGACCGCTTCCTGTTTAACAACTTCAGAGCGATCCCCAATCTCTGTGTCGTTCAGGCCTTAGACACCCCAAGTGTCATTGTTCATGGAATACCGTTAAATGCTTTTGCAGCTGCTGCTGTCCCCTAAAAATACTGGCTGCCTCGATGACAGCAGTGAAGATAAGTCAGGCACTTCCATTCACTTGCCAGCAGGGGCTAAAGATAGTTCAGGTGACCAGTGCAGGGCAGACTGCTTCGCTTACTTGAGGCTTTGCAATAAAAATCTCAGGAGAAGAGCAAGCTTTCAGTCTCGAAATACGTTAAAGCTCGTCTTCTGTACATTCTCTACGTTTGTTTGATTCTTAACTTCAACAGTCTTTCACACAAGATCGTTGTACAGTGTAAGATGTTTAATATTTGTAACAAAAATGACAAAGAAAGGTTGATTTCCGAGTCTTTTCTTATCAGGCTTGTTGCTGTTAACCGATGCTAAACAACTAAGAACAAAGGGTAAAGATAAAATAAAATAAAACTATGAACTGATGTCGGTCTGTGGTTCTTAAACATGTCAAACCTCAACATGCTATTATTTAAAACAGTCAGGCTGTCATAATTTACTCACGATAAGGGACTTGTTAAGTCTTTGGTGACTCCCTTTGCAGACTTCGGCTGACATACCTAATGCAAATATAAATGCCTAGTTTTAATATATATTGAAGATCCTCCCTATAGCTGATATATTAATGTAAAGTTTTATGCATAAAAGCTTTGATCACCCATAAATGCCAAATCATAATTACACTACAAACACTACAATTAAAAATGTGCATTTTCAAATATCACATTGTTCTATTTTCTAGGGATTTTAATTTCGTAATTCAGTAATTTCACTCTGGATCTTTGCTGAAATCATGCCTTTATTTATGCTGTACACGTATCTTGGCTGCGACCACGTTTCTTGCTGCAGCTCACTGGATTGTCCAGCTTTTTCAGCATTTGATAATCGTATTGTTGATTTAATTAAAATATATATTGAACTCATTATCTCAAAAATGGCAAAATGGCTGATCACCCAGTCCAAGTGGAGGCTTAACTGGTTGGTTTTGTGTTTCTGGCCACAAAGATTCATAAGAACTAAAATCCAATTAGGTAGTTTGAGAAAAAAAACAAAAAAAAGAAGTTTTTCAGCTCTGTCAACCAGGACAACTGGATATAGAAACCTAAATTTAACATTTGCCAGTCCCAGAGAACTGGATGCCAACAGCCTGCTTGTTGTGTAGGATCTTGTCTTATTGGCAGGTTACAATGCTTCCTGCATGTGTTGACGAGTGTAATGGAGCTCATGTGCTCATCCTCACTGGCTCTGAGACTAAAATACACTGACTTCAGTGTGAACAGGTACGCTGCTAGTGTCTGTATTGTCAGTTTTACTTGCAAGTCAGAATAACTTGTATGTTCCCTCAACCTTGGTGCATCTCCAGCATTTGACATGTAATAAATTAGTCTTTTCAATACTGTCTGGTGTGTGTGTGACTGTTGGAGGGTCACCTCTGTAGTAAAACTAGAACTTTTCCTGACTACATAACTGATCATTTTCACTGAGCTGTAGTCTAAAACCACTATCTTATAATGCAACACTGTTCTCTTTATAGCTCTTTAAGGGCAATAACATAATGGAATGCATTTTTTTCCCCCCTCAATAACTTTTTAAAAGCCAAAACATAATGTAGCACTGTTACTGTTGTTTTATGTACAGTTATATACACAGTGTGTCTCCTACAGTTTGGGTACAATTATCATTTCCATCTATACATCCATCCATTATCTATACGCCACTTTATCCCCTGTAGAGTCATGGGGGGGCTTAATCAAGATCAATAAAGTTTATCTTATCCTAGCTTTCAATGCAGTCATATAGACAATATTACAAGCACATACATACCATATAACACAAACACACGTGTCTCTGTGTGTATGCATGTGTTTAGTATGTGTATATATATATATATACTTTTATACTCCAGTATCAGTTTCTATATCCAGTATCAACAGTTAGCACAGTTTGACCTTATCTTTTTTTTTTCTTTTTTTCTTTTACAGTAGCCGCTGGGCCGTATTTGATCCGATGCCGTGCGGTAATGAGGGGATCGCACAGCACGTGGGCCTGGGTTTTTCACTGTGTGAGGCTGTTGTGAGACCTGTCCTCAACGTGGACTGTGGTGTCCCTTCAGCTGTTTAGTGGCTCCATGGCCCACGTTCCCTCCTCCCCAATTTCAGCTGTTGGAGGTAATCTGATATAACTCAGACCCCATGTAGCTGGTTATGAAACGTTTTGTGCCCAAGACTGAGAAACAGTTTAAGGAGTTGTTATGCTGGAGAATTTAAAGAGCATTTGGGGTATCATAAGCTACTTAGAGCACAGAAGGAGGGTGGAGTTTGATGTAGCTTTTGCAGCTATTGCACTAGAACCAAGCAAAGGTCAAAGGGTGCTATATAAGTGCGGACCAGTTACCAACAATAAATGTAGTTTTAAATATTGATTACAGAGTGAGATCCCACCTGTTTCCTTTGATGTGGTTGAGACATTAGGACATTAGGGCGGTTAGTAGGACTGAAATGTTGCTGTGAAGAAATCACTCTCTAAAAAAAATGCATTACTTTAAATCGTGTTTCCATGCATGAGGCATTCTTGGACATCTGAAGAGTTCAGGATTTTTGTAAACTGCTGCGCGAAGGAAACTCTTTAAATTATGTATTGGACAACCTGCCAAATGACAGGTTGGGTAAGATTACAAGGCATCTGTCTGAAAGATGAAATTAATGCCTGGAAGGATCAAATCTTTTCAAATTCTTGGTACTTAACCCTTTGAGGTAAAACACATTTCTGTACTTCATACTTTTTTTTAATTTAAAATTGATTATTCAGTTTTTCTTTAGACAACCATTTAGGATATTCAACAATCTAGTGAGTTGTAATGTAGATTCAGAAATGTTTTTTAATAAATACCTCAGTGATCAGTTGGCCTACCAAATGTCTTAGTATCCCTTCTGAATAATATGTTAGAGTTTTATGTGCATGCAAAGCAACATACCTTATAACTCTGTTTACCTCTAAAGAGTACTAAGACCACTTGGGGTGCTGTGGGACTTCACATGCAAATGAGAGGTCAGATAAAGCATCTCATTTCCATTAAAAGAAATAAAACCTCGTTTTGACTGTGCTCATGTTGCCAAAAAAAAAACTCTCGTGACACACTGCAGCGAAGCTATGTTTTCATTACAGAGCTGCAGCACCATATATTAGTCCCACCCTGCTCTCAGTAAGGTTACACTGCAACATGGTGTTTAACGGACAATTTTGTCTTTCTTTTCCCTGACATCGGAATGCGAGCGGCGCAGACGTTCACAAAACTGTGGACGTGTTCAGACAGTAGCCCGGAGGCCTGCAGATAGAGCCGCTAATACAGCAGGTTCTAATAGACGGGGCTCCAGGACAGAACCCAGCGTCTTTCACTATATTACAGTCACCATATGCTCAATTAAATCAGGAAGAATGTACATAACGGAAATAAGTCATGAGTTTACGTTGTAATACTATAAAACTATGAACTGACAAAACAAGACATGCATCTGTATGCGTCGATGCATCTACCTGGAGCTGCAGCATTGATATGCATTATTGAATAAACTATTCTCAATATTTTGTGGAGGTGGAGACAGAATAAAATCTGATACAAACAAGCTGCATTTTATTTATTGTGTGGATTTAGACAAAAAAATGAATTTGCATTTTCAGAACAATCACATCATTTTTCAGAGAAGTCAAAAAAAAAAAAAGATTTCCATATTTCTTTTAGTTCTGTTTGGTCAGAAAGGCAGTACTCCATCTAACGCAGACATGCAAAAAAAATCCAAGGAAAATATGTCTCACATTGAAATGCTCAGCCAAACATAATCAGCGGTGTATACTGCGGGCTGTCAGCAACGCTCTAATGGATGGTACATGGACGGGATCAAATGTTGCCTTTGCAGGTCTTGAAAAGAAAACCAACTTCCTCCTCTAGTGGTCGTCTGGTGTAAGTACAACATGCCACAGCTTGGTTCGTTTACTGCTGAACGTGCTCTTCAGGGCAAAACCCAAGACTGCTTAAATGTGACTGTAACACGATTTCATTTGGATGTTTTTAACCAGTTGAGTTAAAAGTTGGAACTCAGTTTAATACAAGTTGTAGCCGACTAACCGTAGTGTTGAGAACGTATAGTAGGCGTGTTTTAGTCAGTGTTACTTCTTGGAGATGTTTGACCTTCACTTGTGCTGAAAGTGTGTTCAAAGTTCATCTGCTGAAAGTTTCTCTGAGCTCATCTAAAACATTCTGTGTATTCACGATTTGTGATATCACGAGTCCTGTGTTTGCCTGGTTCAGCAGGAGGCTTACTCTTATAATGAAATGTGGAAACTTGAGGTCACACACAGAAAAATGATCTTTTAGATATTCAGAAGCATCCAGTAGTAAAATCTCAGAATCATCAATGCCTTCTTTCTTTTTCCTTAAAAACAAGAACAGATCAGACATAAATCTTTTTCTTTATGACACAGCACAGTAATATATACATTTCTGAACATGTCTTCAAGGGATGGCTGCACTTCATGTATTCAAGCGTTCCTCAGTGCATATTCACATCAGTCTATCAGAGGGTTACTTTGCTATTTTGGCATTCAGTCTGTTGAGAGTCTCAAGCTTTCAACATTTAGCTTGAGGAGCTTTAAGGAAAAGAAAATTCTTCGTTTTGGGCACGTCAGTGGCTGGGTGATTTATAAAACTACCTGATCTTGTAGGTTTGAGGCTAAACAGATGTTTGATGTCAAGCTTAGTCTCAGCCTATAGTCTCAAAATGTAGAAGTTCTCTTTTTTCTTTTTTTTTACTTACTAAATGGAATGACTCACACTTTGTCTTCTAGGAATGAAATTCCTCATCACTTTTCCTTCCATCTTTCTCAGGTAGGTCTCACCTTTCTCTTACCTCTAAGCAAGATAAACTAAAGTA